GTTGGTACCGCCCGCATGCCATTCAGGCAGGAAGCCAGCTGGGGGTGGGCAGCCACTCACAGCAGGACGTGGGAGCCGAAGGGCACAGCGCTCATCGTCATCCTCAGGAAATCATCATTGATAGAGGTGGTTGAGTTGGTGGTGGTGTTGCCGTCGGTGAAGGAGCTGGTCTGGGTGGCGGGCACGTAGCTGGTGTAGTTGACGGGGATCAGGCTGCAAAGGGCGGCAGCATCGGGAGGGAGGAGGCGCTTCGTGAGAGGCAAAGGACGGCGGGCCATGATGCCGCTGGGATGCTCGGCAAGCGATCCCCCGAGCTGCAGACTAGGCACACCATACGGGGCATCCGCAGGCGACGGGCACTCACACTCCCACACCCAGGATGGTGAGCGGCAGCAGTGCCAGGCAGCCAAAGCCCAGGATGCGCTGCGCAACCTGCGGTGCAGCCGGCGTAAGAGGGAGCAGCGTGTGGCAGCCATCTCATGCCTCGAGGCACAAGTTGATGCATGGCAGCGCCCTGCCCGCCGCCCCACAGCTGGCCATTCTGCCGTCAGCCCGGCCATTCGCCTGCCAACCCACCAGGGCGTCCAGGCCCGCGGATTCCAGCAGTGCCCCATCCGACAGCTTGAACACAGGGATGAGCCAGCTCCAGAGGTGGTGGTGCCCGCCCAGCTTCAGCGGGGGCGGGCGCTGCGCCTCGGGCACCGCCGTGCTAACCAAGCGGTTGAAGTAGACTCTGAACCTGCACAGACGGCCGGAGGGTTGGAGAAGCAGATGGCTCAGGCAAGGGAAGCACGCGACTCAGCGAGCAGAACACTATCCCAGGCCAAGGTGCTGGTTGCTGTGCCTAGGCTCGGCCCGTCGCTACAGCCAAGTGAAGCAGCGCTGCAGCCAGTTCTGCTAACCGCCCCTCGGAGGAGCTGCTGCTGCTGCCGCTGCCGCTGCTGCCGGCCTCACGCACTCTCCGCGCCACAGCACAAAGCCGATGTAGCAGAGGATGCCGATGGCTGAGTTGATGGCAAGGCCAAACACGATCTGGGAGGCATCGATGGTGGTGTTGTAGCAGTTGCTGTTGGAGTCAACCACGCCGCCGGAGCCCGTGGTGCACGACCATATCTGCTCCCCCGCGCTGGGATCGCTGTCGTTGCTCATGCCGCCGCTCGTCTGCCCGGCTCAAGGCGAGCGCCGCCCAGAGGTGGTCGTCTGGCGCCGCCAGCCGCCGCCGCCAGCGACCCGATTCGTGGCTCCTGGGACTGCAGGCACGAAACGATACCAACATCAAGGACTCCGCGGCAGCAAAATGTGCAGAGAAGGAGGGCAGGGAGAGCAGTGCAGCAGAAACACCGCTAGCCGCCCCACAGACATGCCGCGTG